TTTTTTTTTTGAAATCAATTTGAAAATACGATTAAGAGGCATTAATGAAAGGGGACAACTCATATCGAGTTATACTTATTAATATCAGAGTTATACTTATTATAAAACCCAGGTTGTGTGTGTGTGTGTGTGTGTGTGTGTGTGTGTGTGTGTGTGTTTTATATATGGGATCGGATCGGATTTCCTACATTTTTCAACCGATTTCAACAAAACTTCACTTTTTTTTGGCAGGTAGTGTTTCTTATTGTCTTGCACACTTTTTTCTTTTATTTTACATTCAGAATGCTTTAAAAATTCCATTTACAAGACAATTGTTTATAATAAAATTCTATTTAATCGGTAGACTCATAACGATTGAAAACAATGTTTTTGTTTGAGTTTGGGTTTGACCGATTCGTAAAAAAACAAAAACAAAACAAAACTAATTAAGACATGTGTGTCCGTCAACCTTAAACAATAATCTTTGTCAATTTTATTTTTCAGTCTTTATGATGGTCGATACTTGATCTATCTCTTACTGTTACATCCCCGGGCAACGCCGGGCTCTACTGCTAGTAATTAATAGAAACAAAAAAAAAATAGATAAAAGTATATATAACACCATAATACTACTGGACACAAATTATAAGACAAAATATTTTAAATTTGCATTGTTTATTGAAAATTACACTAAAACTACTGCACTGTATAATATATTACATCATAATATAGATAAATAGTTCAGTATAATTTGCCTTTGAAGTAAATGAGGGTTTTAGTTGATGGTACAATTATTTGGTAATAATGTGCGTGTACCTTGTATCTTGTAAAGCTTCAGTGAATTATAAATTTTATAAGACTATAAGGCTTTCACTGATCACCGAAATGAAATTCCGATTTTGGACATAAACTTAATCTTTAAACTCGTTTCCTGAAAAAGCGATAACGATTTGAAAAAAAAAAAAAAGATATTTTCTTTCACTACTTATCATGCCAAACCTCAACTTGCAAATTTCAAGCGCAGTATTACGTTTCACTATTTACATTATTCGGACTATTGTCCTCATCTTTGTCGCCATATTTATTAAAACGTTTCGGCCGTTGTACGCTCCGGCCTTCTTCAAGTGGTTGGAATGTCGAACTGAACCTTTTATTTCGCTCACTGGGATAGACTGTTCTAGTTCCACGTGCCATGTGTAATGGATGTCAGTTATCAGTTATCTCCTGTTAATTCCCCTCTCCAAACTCTCCACTGCTTTAACCGGGTATTGAACTGACAACTCTTTGGGTCCCGTTACTAGAACTAACCAACGCCTTTATCCACTGTGCCATGTGTCAGGACACATGGCGCAGAGAATAAAGAAGAAGGCCTCAGCGTACAACGACCGAAACGTTGTAATAAATATGGCGACAAAGATGCGGACAATAGTCCGAATAATGTAAATAGTGTACATAATACCTCATGTTAGAAATTCCCTCCTATCATGACTACTAAGGTAGAAATTATGTAAAATGCTTCGCTCACAAGTCATCAATTGATGCTTATGTTAAGTGCTCAAACTTAACCACGAAGAAAGTCGATTTTTTTTTCATTATTTTAGATTGAAATATAAATCTATTGTCGCAATCAAAGATTTTTTTAAGAATCGTAGTAATCTACGCATGCAATTTAAATGAATATTAATGAGTAGAGATTGGCTTTTTTTTTCGATAAGTTTACTTGATAATTTATTTCAGTCGTTTAAGATTTTGTGCTACTGTCTGGTTTCCATTGGAAAATGTCTACGAAATAAAAAAAAGAGGTGACGATATTCAATGTCATTAATCAAAGCAATTGATTCAAATTCAAAAACAGCTCCACACACGCACATACACATAAATATTCTTTTCTATAAATATTTTCATTGTAATTTTTCAAATGAGCTTTTATCCTTTGTTCATCGACTCTAGAAATGAAAGCACAGTACTTGATTGGTAATAGGCGTCATAAATTCACTAAATTTATGCTGGAAATTGCTAGATATAACAGTAAGTTTTATTCTAACATTTTCATCCCTGGCACTGGAACCTTTAGTGACTTTTTAGTCTTCCTTGCGGTGAAATGATTAAAAAGATTAATAAAAATATTTTTCGTTTGCAGACGGTTCTGTGACAGGTCACTGATCCTGTTTAAACGTTTAAATGCACGAAATTACAGGGTGATGATTTGGGGGGGAGTGATGATTTGGGGGGTGATGATTGGGGGTGATGATTTGGTGGGGGACTACTAACTGGGTGATAATTATTACAATCCTCACTCGTCCATCCCAATATTGTAAGATTTTGAGAAACTGGAACCAAACTGGTCGGGACATCACGCCGACTTTATTGAAGGATGGAAAAAGAAATCCGGGTGACCCGCAAGGTGTGTTTTACTAGACAAAACTTGCGTAGCAAAGCAAGCAACTAACGATTGTTGAAAAAAAAAAGGAGAAGAAGGAAAAACAAAGCTTGGAGTCGAGGGATGTGTGATAAATGCGCTGTTTTTTCGGCAGGGGGTTACATTTGTTATGTCGTCTTCTCTATTTTAACTGTGATAGAAATGTTCTAATTTTCTGGTTTTAAAGATGAGCATTTACGAAGACTTCCTTTTTCCAAGGTTGGGCTGATATCTAACGCATTCAATACTGGATAGTTAAGTCCATCTATACTAACTACTTTCGAAACTTTCAAAAAGCAGAATGAGTTTCCACTGAAATTCAAGTTTTAAGCCCTTTTTTCTGGTTCTGCGTTTTCTCTCCAGAAGATGAATTAAGTTAGATGACGGCCGGTACACTATTTTTTTTTAAGTTCTCGGCCGCTTCTGTTTCCTATTGTCAATAGTTGAAACATTGTTTGGTTTGATTTGGTTTGGTTTGGTTTGGTTTGGTTTGATTTGGTTTAGTTTGGTTTGATTTGGTTTGATTTGTTTTGGTTTGGTTTGGTTTGATTTGGTTTGGTTTGATTTGGTTTGGTTTGGTTTGATTTGGTTTGGTTTGATTTGGTTTGGTTTGATTTGGTTTGGTTTGGTTTGATTAGATTTGGTTTGGTTTGATTTGGTTTGGTTTGATTTGGTTTGATTTGGTTTGGTTTGGTTTGGTTTGATTTGGTTTGGTTTGATTTGGTTTGGTTTGGTTTGATTTGGTTTGATTTGATTTGGTTTGGTTTGATTTGGTTTGGTTTGGTTTGGTTTGATTAGATTTGGTTTGGTTTGATTTGGTTTGGTTTGGTTTGATTTGGTTTGATTTGGTTTGGTTTGGTTTGGTTTGATTTGGTTTGGTTTGGTTTGGTTTACAGCATATCCATCTCAATGGGTTATTTAATGCCGACAAAATGTTTATTACTGGTAATATTTTTTTTCAAAAATCTATTTCTAGTAATATTTTTTCTACAAAAAATTTATTTCTAGTAATATTTTTTTCTGCAAAAGTCTATTTCTTCTAATAATATATCGCTAGTAATATGTTTGTTTATTTTTTCAAAAATGTATAGATGGTAATATTTTTATTACAAAGTATTTCTAGTATTAAAACCTTTTTAAAAATAAATATAAAAACATTATGAAAGTGTTAAAACACTTTCATAATGTTTTGACCCCAGTTTGGGGGTTAACTATTTGCCCATAGCTGGGACCCTAACAGGTGCTACCACCCCAGGTTAGAGTGGGAACCCAGCAATTGATAGGTGGTTCCACGATACTAAAAACCTCCTAATCAGAGGCTTTCCTACTGCACATAGTTTATCGTCTTACCCGGGAAGTGGATATAAGTTGAAAAATGGAGTCTCTTTAGATACTTTACTAAACAGTAAAGTGTTGTAATATAACTCTTCATTTTCTTGTTATCTGTCTGGCGTTGTTGTATCTTGTGAAAGATGACTGGGAAACAAATCAAAATAACTTGTGATTACAAAAAGAAAATATCAAAATAAACTAAACATTTAAAACCTGAATAATTAATTGATCCCTGTGGTGCGCGGATTTTGCCCCACCCGATATACAAGGGGAGACAGAAATAACTCCCACATAATTCTAAGTCATTAGTGACAATGGTTACTTCATCTAGATAATGTCTTACCATTATGTGGGAGATATTTCAGCCGCACCTTGTGTGTATATATATATATATATGATAGAAATTAAGGAGGATTTGAGATAATTAAGTAATCTCAACAGAATGTAGAAAGCACTGGACGGCCGTTTCGTCCTATCCACTACCAAGAATTGAAACCCGGACAGTTACACTGGCAGGCAAACGTCATACCAACTGTACTAACGGGCCTCGGTGACGAAGACGAAGAGGTAGCGAACTAGACTCGATATTGTGCCGATCATTCACAAATTCCGTGGTGGAACTCATCCAAGTTCCCTTTACCCATAGGACTGTGCCTCCGAGAGCCATGACTACTATCTCCCAGCCGCTCCATCCAGAGCATTAAAAGCCGGTTCAAGCAAGGCTATACAAATGATATAAATTAAGGAGGATTTGAGATAATTAAGTAAATCACCGGGTCTAGTATACGTAGTATGTTAGTACAGTTGGTATGACGTTTGCCTCTCAATGTAACTGTTCGGGTTTCAATTCTCGGATGCGCGCTGCTGATGAGTCCCCAATATAAGACGTAACGGCCGTTCAGTGCATTCTGTTGAGGTTTTTTCTAGACTCGATGAATTACTTAAATATATATATTTATATATATGCATTCATATATGTGTGTAAAAAAGAGATTGTTTGCTGCTTTTTTTTTTTTAAAGGGCTACACTCGCTTGCTGGTTATTTAAAGCCAGAATATTTTAGATTATAAGATTTTTTTTTTGTGATGAGATAGTAATGGTTTAGTAATACAATTACTAATTACTAATTAACCCATAGCTGGAGGAAGAAGAGATGGATTCATACCTTTCCTAAGGGTATTTTGCACGTAAGTCGATTTAACAAAACCAACTCGGCTCTTCGATTAACAATTCCGACTTATTATCCGTGACACAACAAGGTGCATTCAAGCTTACAGCACCTGGTGACGCCCAAGTGATCACCTATCTAGGTAGTGACCAGGGGAGACATTGCTTAACTTCGGTGATCGTACGGGAACTGGTGTTTCAACGTGATGTGATCTTAACAGGTAACGAGAAAGCGAGGGAGAAAAGAAGAAAGAAAGTGGGAAGGAAGCTGTTGCCTTGTTTCCCTTCCAACAGCTTCTATTTTCCGCTACTTAAATAGACAATTCTACTGGTGATACTTCTTCCGTATAAGTCTTTGTTAACCCGTGGATATCAGCGAAGAAAAAATCCTAAAGAAGACGACAATCTCCTCTTTCCCTGCTTTGTTTGTTTGTTTTGTTTGTTTGTTTGTTTGTTTGTTTGTTTGTTTGTTTGTTTGTTTGTTTGTTTGTGTGTAAAACCACACGAAGTCAGAGAAGATATTATTCATTCTTAGGCTTGAGATGAACGCCAAATTAGGATAGTTTTGTGATTGTACAGAGTGCGATGGATAAACGACCATCTAAATTACGCGAAACACTGACATCTCATTTTTACAGATATATATTCACCAAAATGACACAAAAATATCTTGAAATACTAAAGAGTAAATTTATTCAAGATAATCGCCATTAGCTTCAACCACGGCCTCCAGAAGACTTCGGAATCTCCTGTAAGTTTATTTGTTTAAGTTAGTGAAAGTTGCTATAATCATTGCCTTCAGCTCATCTTTGGTGTTACAAAGAGTTTTGTTGATCTCTCGCTCAACTGCGCCCCATGCATAATAATCAAGAGGGATTTAGTCTGGAAAGTTACGTAGCCAAATGGGTGATGTAGTCGCAGAAATTGTCTGACAGCCATGACTGGGTATTCCTGATTGTATGATGCGATACAGAGTCCTGTTGCCAAACACAGGGTCTTCCAACAGCGACCCTCTTGACCCAGAGCAGCACTACCTCCACAAGATACTTGATGTAGACTTCCGCATTGAGTCCTAGGCCCTGTGTGAAGATAAATAAAAGCATAACGTCGCCATAACTAGTAATCACATCAAAGACCATGATATTGACCGGATATTTGTTTTTTATCACACTTAGTACCCTTTTGGAGGACACAGCAAGCCAAGAGTTGTTCTGTGTCCACCATCTTAACATGGCGGAAAATTTCTCTCGATAAGCGAAAGCATTTTGGAGGGGATGTTTGAGTTTGTTCAAAAGCTTCGATGCGCGGTCTTTCCTCTTGTCCTTCATGGCTTGGAATAAAACCTGGCCCTTTCTCATCTTGTATGAGGAATACCGAATGTTTTCATGCCTTATCTGCCTAATAAAAAAAACTCAGACACTCCTGTGTTCTTGGCTGTGGACCTGATTAACTTGAAGTGATCGTTGTCAATCATGGCCTGGATCTCACCAACAAATTCGGGAGTTCTTTTATCAGAACGATCAGAGTGCGTTTTCCGCGATCCCGTACATTCGTAATCACCTTTAGACTCATCCAACTCTTTCTGAATCCTCTGCGCTGTTCTCAGATTGACAATCCAACACTGAAATATTCATATCGGAGCTTCCGGCGAAAATGTCAAGCATTAAATCAAGCAGTTTTCAAATCTCTGGCGGAGTGAATTGCGATATGGTGCTCTTTTTCCTCAAAGACGGTTCCCAACTGACCCTACTATGCTGTGCGTTCGACAAAATCAAAAACAAACAAAGCGCATGCGCGAAATTAAAAATATAAAATGGCGACAATTTACCCATTGTGTCCTGTTATTTTTTTTTTTAAGCGTTTCACCCCAAGCAAGGCGGGAAGCCACTAGGACGCAAGGGGTTACAGAAAATTTAGAGCAAGATCAGATAGGAGTGATAGAAGAAAGGATGAGGAGAAGGGTAGTGGATAGATCAAGGCAACTGGAGATGCCGATTGACATTACATTTGAATACCTGGAGATTATAGCTCTCAGGGAAACTGGAATAAGGAAGGGAGTTCCACAGGCGAGAGATGCGAGACATGAAGCTATTGGAGTAGAAGAGACGGCTAGATTTAGGAGTTTCGACAGTGAAGGGGTGAGAGCGGGATGCCAGCCTCGTAAGGCGCTGGAACTCATGAAGTCTGGGAACCAGCGAATGCAGCTCTTCGGAGCAATTACCATGAAAGTATTTGTAAAACAGACAGAGAGAGGCGACGGCGTGTCTGTGAGAAAGTGACTGTAGTCGAGATGCCAAAGCAGGGCCAATTATATTGCATATTCGCCTCAAACAGAAGGGGCTCCAGACCATATATGGCAGCAATATATGTATATATGTATGTATATATATATGAGAAAAATATATTTTATATAAGATAAGAATATATTTGAAAGTATTTATGAGTAAAAGTGCTCAATATCAAGATCATGCGGAAATACAAAAGTAGACATTGTGGTAAACACCGATTGGCTACAGTATGTTTCAACTTTGAAAGCAATATTCAGGACATCAATAGAATGCGTTCAAACCTGATACAGATTGTCGACACACAGTATTGACCACAGAGTCTGCATATATATATATATATATATATATATATATATATATATGAAGAAAATATCTGGAAAAACAAAACAAAAATCCTTAAAATGCGATTATGTTGTTTTAATATGAATGAAATGTCGACGTCTGACGTTTCGGTTAATAATCTTCTTCAGGACAATATTCATTAAAAATACAATTAACATAATCAGTATAACACGACGAAAACGATGGACATAAAAACAAGTCTTATCCAAAACAAATAAATGAAAATTTTAAATGATCAGCTTTCCGTTTGAGCGTGGTCACGTTGTCGTCAAATCGGCGACGCTTTCAAAACGTATTCTTAAAAATTTTTCCAGAAATTTTCTTCATTCTGTCGGATTTATATCCATTTATATTTGCTTATCATATATATATATATATGTAGATCTGGAGGAACATTGATAATAGTCATTAATAATAATCCAAGTCTCGTTCGGACAACTAAACTCCTTCGCATTTTTCTTGTTACTGGTAAGAAATATTAATCAAACTTTTTCAGGTGCATCATCCTTAAAAATATTTTTTTTAAAAATAGGTAACTCAGAAAATGTCTACAAGCAAAATCTTTATATTAATAGAAATTAATTTTTTTAACATTAGATTTTTTTAACTTTTTTCATTACGGATTATACACCTGCAGAAAGCTGAAGAATGGTGCGGCCGAAGTATTGTAAGATTGTTGAATGGAATTCTGGTAATAGCTTTGAACGGCGACGTGCCGATAACATAACAGTTATCAGTGCAGAAAGTGTTCATTTGTGTTCAATTTCGTACAAATGCCCTTGGGAAAAAGCACGAGTCCATTTATTTTCCTTCTCCTCCAGCTATGGATTAAACAGCAGGACAGACTGGGCTCTCTAAATTTGGGTGGCCACCAATCTAAAAGAAAGACTACACTGAATTAACAATTTTAAAAAAGCTAACGGGGAAGCCATTTTCACAAGATGGTATGACAATTTAGAAATAATAAAAAGAAGCATCGGTGGAGAGCCATGATTGCCTAAATCTTGGACTGACATGGCATTTTAAAAAAAAAATGTTAATCAGAAAATGCTGACGACCAGTGATCGGCGAAAAGGTGTACGAAATATTTGCATGTTAACGCTGTAACGAAAAGAAAACAAATGAAGATTACAGATTAGGGGATAATTCCAAGAAGACAGAATAACTGATAAAGTGGCGACTTAAAAAAAATTAAAGAAGACATAATATTGTTAACTGGGGCAAAAATTGGTTTGTTCATTTTAACGCTTCCAAAACTAAACTCTATTAATCGAGAAACCCCATTTTTTTTTCCTTTAATAAATACTTTCATGGTAATTGTTCGGATGAGCTCTACACCTTGTGTATGTGTGTGTCTGTGTGTTTACGCGCACGTGTGTGTGTGCGTGAGTGTGTGCGTGGGACTTAAATTTTTTAAAGAAGACATATTGTTAACTAGGGCAAAAATTGGCTTGTTAATTTTAATGCTTCCAAAACTAAACTTCTCTCTATTAATCGAGAAACCCCTCTCTGCCTTCCATCAGTATGGCTGATGCTAACCACCAGGAAAATGACTCATTTCTCGGGCTAACATTCTCAGCTAACATGAAGTGGAAAGACTATATCGTTTCCATTGATAGGTCAGTTGCTAAGAAAGCTAGTTCACTATGCTGGGTGAGACAATTTTTCTCTCTAGCATCTATCTTGCTTATCTATAAATCTACTATTTGTCTGTGCTTAGAATATTCCAGCCATATATAGTCAGGTGCACCTGCTATTTACCTGAAGCTCATTGTTAAGGTCTAAAGTAGAATCAGCAATATTATTGGCCCTGATCTGACAGCTCGGCTTCAGTCACTTGATCACCGCTGTAAGCTTGCTTGTCTATGCGTTTCTTTAATAAATACTTTCATGTTAATTGTTCGGATGAGCTCTAGACATCGTGTATATGTGTGTGTGTGTGTGTGTGTGTGTGTACGCGCACGTGTATGTGTGCATGACTCTGTGCGTGTGTGTGTAGTTATTCGTATCTTGATCCAGAAAAAAATAGCGAATCCTTTAATTAAATATCGATAACATTTTTATTCATTGATAATATATATATATGTGTGTGTGTGTGTGTGTGTGTGTGTATGTATGTGTGCGTGTGTGTGTGCGTGTGTGTCTGCATGTTGTGTGTGTCTGTGTTTGCATGTGCGTGTGTCTGTATGTCGTATGTGTCTGTGTTTGTATGTCTGCATGTCGTATGTGTCTGTGTTTGCATGTGCGTATGTGTGTGTGTGTGTGTGTGTGTGTGTGTGTGTGTGTGTGTGTGTGTGTGTGTGTGTGTGTGTGTGTGTGTCTGTTTAAGCAATTAATTAAATCCGGATTCCATCATTTCTTATTATATATAATAAACGTTATTTTCTTGGGGACACATGTTTTGAGTAGATATCACTGTTTTTATTTTTTATTTTGCTTTATTATTTTACACAATAAAATTAACATCTCCAAGTCTCGATCATCGAAAAGATTATTAAAGACGATATAACATTAATCAAGTATCAAACTTGCATTCCCTTTCTCTCCTTTTAGACAGACATGCCTTTATCGTTCCGTAAGAA